ATGGGCTACTTGAGAGAGGCCATGTCATTTCCTCTGTCACATAATTACCTCCAGCCAGGGAGCAAGAGATGCAGTGAGGGAGAAAAATCTGTGTAGGCATACAGAGCAGTAATGAAGTGTCAGTGTCCCCACGTACACCCTCTTGTACCTGAAGAAAAGCAGGGAGAGGAGCAAGGGTAGGTAGGGTTGGCCACTTGGAGCAAGGGGTGACTTGGAGGGAGAAATTCAGTGTAGTTTCATATATTCTTTAGACCATCGCACGTCTATTTATGTAGCTTTGAAAGATGGTAATTTTCCTCACAGAAAATTCCAGCATGTGATGTTTTAAATACACTGTGTGAACTTTAGGCATACTCTAACACTCTCCCAAAACCTTGGCGAAGAATAAATTTCCAACCAAGAATGTTAGTGAGTTGGACACAAAATTATTGACCATTGGAATTACTTCTATTAAATGAAATACCGTTCTGTGTAAAAGATATTTTTTCTTTTCATAGTATTGAATTTAGCACCATCTACAGACATTGATAGCAAGACCACAATTTAGAAGGCTGTCTTTTTCAAATACTTGTGGTAATACCTGTGATAATTGACTTTTGAACTTTCTTCTAGTGGACCACAGAGAGTAGTTACGTGAAAAAACGGAGGTAGAAATCTTGAATGAAAGGCTTCTGTACCTTTAGTAAGTTTAGGTGACGTGGACTTTTAATGAAAATGTGACTTACAAAGCTTTTGAATTAATTGGTAACATTCTGTAAATAGACTTTGGAGTAGCAGAGCTTTATTTTAATACCCAAAGGTCGATCACTTCTGCTCTCAATGATACAACAGAGTGAATCATGTCCTAACACCACAGTTACTCTAGGATTTAGAGTAACCGTTTGAGTTCTAGAAAGAGAGTTCTGAATGTTAAAAATAGTTTGGGTGGAGCACTTATGGGATTTTTATTTATACTAAACACTTTAAAATCCTTCCATTTGGTGTTAGAAAAATATTGTTATGGGCTGAGGACAGAGAACATCCAAAAAATGGGATACACGAGATGCTCATGGTAGATACGCCGAGTGCTAGAGTTTAAGAGAAAAATAACTTGGTCTCCAAGGTTCTTTTTTATTTTCTTGCAAAGAAACTGAAGTTTAGAATTAAATTATGGAAAAAACATTATAATAGTTCACCCTTGTAATCCTTCCCAGTATCCAGGCTGCAAAAAATAAAGACAGGATCTAAAAAGAGGCCTCATGAGCCTCCTCATGGAGGGGTCTGATGCACTAGGTACAGCCATCATCCTTAGCAACATTCCCTCATCTTTCCTGGATTTTTCTAGTTTTCAAAAAGTTATTACCCACTGGCCACAGAGGCAAACAAGTTGCTATGTATGCTATGCATGCTATGCCCTTTGTCTTTTACCCATAAAAGTGTATATAAATGCCTTACAGTCCACACATATTGGAAAACTAGTGAGCCTAACAGATGTGCACCGTGACAGAGAGGGAAATTACTGAACAAAGAGAATCCTGGGAATCAACTCTAATACCCAGAGGCAGGCATGGCTGAGTTCACTCAGACATATATAACCTTTTCACTTATTACCTCAGTTGTGTGTGTGTGTGTGTCCGTCCATCCTCTGAATTCAAATAATGTATGAGAAAATTCTTGGCAAGGCAGCAACTGCTGTATAAACTAAAAAAAAACTACTATGATCATTATTCTCAACCTTAGGAATTTAATGTTGGCTTGAGAATTACTTCTCAGGTCAATAATAGCTTCCAGAAAATGTTGATGCCAGTTAATAAAATGGTACAACATTACCCCAGGATGTCTTGCTTGCCTTCCATTATTCTCAGACACAGGAGAACATTGGTTTCTTAACTTCTCAAATGTGGAAAACAAACTTGTTTGCAAAGACTTACAGGATGAAATAGTCTCCAGCATTATATGGGCCACTCCCTGTACACCAAGGAAAGAGATCCCTTCAAACAGTGTTATGTCCTGTTCATAAAGCATTTTCATGTCTTGGATTGCCAACTCCAGTTGGATACCACCACTGGAATTTGAGATGGGCCTGAGGGATGGGCATGCAAAGTAGGGAGATGAGCTTTTAGCAAGTGATGGCCTCTAAATTCCTCTCAAGCAACAGTTCTATACATGATGCCCTTTCTCCTTCCCTGTTTTTTCTTTTATTTCCTGTATACAACCAGTCATCAAATGCTTCAATTCTCCCTGAAAGCATCTCTCATATCAGTTCTGTCCAACTCTTATGACCCTGCTTCTCCACTGGCTTCTTGTAGTCTCACAGGTTTAATCCAAATGCTCAAACTAGAAGACTTCTCAAACTTGACCTTCCCCTCAGTTTCTAGCTTTATCTTCTGCTGTTCTCCTCTTGCTGTAACCTTCTGTCCAACCACGCACACACTCCCTCTCATGTTTATACTCACACTGAGTTCCTATTGCTACTGTAGCAAATGACCAAAAACTTAGTAACTTGAACAATGCAAACTTGTTATACTATGGTTCTGGAGGTCAGAAGCTTGACAGGGCTCTTACTGGACTAAAATCAAGTTGTCTATGGGACCACATTCCTTCTGGAGCTTTAGGGGAGAATCCTTTTACTTGGAGAGGCTGGAAGGCACTTCCTGAGCCTGTGGCTCCCTCCTCTATCTTCAAAACCAACAATGCTGGGCCAGTCCTTCTCATGCTATCCACTCCATGGTTCTCTCTCTTCTGCATCCCTCTTCCACTTTTAAGGACCCTTGTGGCTGCACTGGGCCCAGGTGGATAATCTGGACTAATCTCTCTATTTTAATATTATCTTAGCAACACCTAATTAATTGAATATTATTACCAAAAAGCCTATGTATCAAGTAAGACCAATTGTATATTTGGAGATCTGGATTTATAATTTTAGGAAACCTCTAGCATGTTTTAGCTTAAAGTGCTCTGATTATTTCTGCTTTCTTAGGCTCAAAGAAGGAGCAGCACAGATAGACATAGGTAAGTTATTTACTCTTCTGGTCTGAGACATAGTGCAAACAGTAATTATATTTTTAGGGTATTGGATAAGTGGCTGGAGCTTGGGCTGTGACAGAAATCACTTCTTACTACCTTTTCCAATATCACTCCCTTAGTGGAATGGGCAACAGAGATAGAGGGAAAAGAAGCTGCCAAAAGTTCCTGGAGACCCCCAGAGAGTGAAAATACTTCCTGGTTTTTCCCCTATCTCATCCTGTTACTGTTGGAACAAGTGCAGGTATGCAGTACCACAGTCAGAAAAGGAAAGGCTTCTCTGGTCCCACCAATCCAAAGCCTCAAAGGTGTCTGCTATTAGGGAATCTCATACTTCTCCCTCATAGCACTCATCACAACCTTTATTACTGATTTTTTTGTAATTGTGTGTTGTGTGACTTCCATGTGATCGCCTTGTTTGCCACTGCATCCTTAGCTTTTTTACCAGTGACTGGTTCATATTAACCACTTAAATGTTTGTAGGTGAAAACAAATCCATAGGGGGAGAGGGCAGAAGCTGTGTCTTTCTGTTTCTTTGGTATTGCATAGCAATTCAAGCACAGTGTGCTCAGCTGTCTATAAGTGCTTTCTGAAAGCACCCACATATCACCATTAGGGACCCTGCATGATGCAGTAGCTGAAGCCATCTCAGAGGCTCCTTCTAGTTTTCCTCATCCTAGGTAGAGAAGAAATAATGTGAGCTCTGCAACTGGTACATGAAAATAGATTTTCTTTCATTTTACTTGTGGAGGGCTTTTAGATTAATCCCTTCAAACTGTGGAGGTCGAAACATATCTCTTTTGATTTATCGCTTAAATACTGTAAAACTGTTCCTTTAAGTGTACTCCCTAAACATCATCTGCATTCCCTAGGAACTTGTTAGAAATGCAAATCCTTGGGCCCTACTGTAGAAACTCTGGGGCTGGGGCTCAGCAATGTGTATTTAGTAAGTCCTCCAGGGATTGTGATGCATGCCAAAGTTTGAGAACTACTCTCTTAGACCAAAATTAAGCCCACTTTAACTTAGTTACTATTAACAGTTTACTTGACTATGCTAGCAAGGTCTACAATAGCTCAGAATATAAATATTCAATTCCAACCCTATCTGCCCTGCTCAGTCTGTATATTACTCCTACAATTGACAGTGCTGTGAAAAAGCACAACGATGAACCCAGTCTTTTAAAATCAGAGCCCTTCACAGGAACTTAGGGTGTTTGGGTAAGATGAGCATCTGAAAGTACAGTATGTTCAGTAAACGCATAAACAGCAGCAAATACGTGTATATAGCATCAGAATGACAACCTAATAGTCTAATTATCAAATGAGTCTTAAGTTTTGCATGCTATGCTTTGAGGGGAGGTGGAAGAGGAAGAGGAAGCACGTCTGAATGCCTAGCTGTTATTCTTTACTCCCGAAAGTTCAGTGTTATTACATTATTAATAGTGGAACTCTGTTTGGGTGGCCAAATTCTATTTTCCTCCAAACTAAACCTGAATTATACAAGCAACGTGATTAAGCTAAGGCAGGGGTCGGGCGGAAGATGCATAAGGTAACACAAGGAGGACCGGCAGTTTGCTTTGCTTTGGGCGGCCCTACTCATTCCTCGGCTCACTTTTTTCTGATGCACAGGTTTTCCTTCCGAGGTGGGTAGGGAAAGGGCTAGGGGACTGTCCAGTCCTTCCCGCACAGGCTGCGCTCCACTTTTGCGGCTCCGGATCAGACCTGGGGACCAGACCAGCTGGGCACGAACAGCTCGCCGAGCCCGGGAAGCCCGCGCGGCCGCGAGGCGACCCACGCGGTCGAGGTAACCTTGGCATCTTCTGACCCGATTGGCCCGCGGCCCCGTTTTGCGTCCCGCCGCACGTAAATAAACTTTCGGCGCCTGCGTTGAAGCAGCCGGCGTGAGGCGAGCGCGTCGCAGCCAATGATGTGTCGGGAACGAAAATCAGTGACCAATGAAATGCTGGGGTCGTCCGGGCGGCCAGCCAATCGCGAAGCGTTGCACCCGGATGTGTCTGCCGGTCCTGAGAGCGAGCTCTGGAAAGTGAGGGGCTGCTCACGTGGAGCAGAGGCCGTAGGCGCGGACGCAGGGGTGAGAGGGTGTCAGACTCGGTGTCTAGAGCCTGCGGCTGGCGTGTAAAGACCACCCGTTGGGTTTTGAGTGGGGGCCAAGATCAATGTGGCTGTTTGTCTGTGGAAAGAATCCTGGTGCCGTGTGCCGGAGCCAGCGTGTGGGGGAGCCCCTCCAATGGTGCCTCACAGGGAGTAGGAGTCTTGAAGGCACAGCAACGGCAGTGGGAATATGAATCTCTTACCTAAAAGCTCCAAGGAGTTTGGCTCCGTTGACTACTGGGAAAAGTTCTTCCAACAGCGAGGAAAGAAGGCTTTCGAGTGGTATGGAACCTACCTGGAGCTGTGCGGGGTGCTACACAAATACATCAAGCCCAAGGAAAAGGTGAGCGCGGCCTGGTAGTGGGGTGAGTGCGTGCGTGCGTGCGCGCGCCGCCCGGCAGGTGGGAACCGATAGCAGGAATCCTGCCTTTGTTGTGGCAGCCGTGGGGACCCTAATTGGGCCCATATTTTCAGGATTCCATGCCTCATTTTGGGTAATAGGCAATTAAAATATATCCTTTTAAAGGTTTTCAGTTAACAGACAGTCCCTCCCGCCTCCTTCCCAGCCAGCCCATCCTTGAATGGAAGAGGGACTTATTTAGTAGTCCAGTCTAGATATTAGACTGCTAGAGGACAAAATGTGCTTTCCAGTCATTGTGTATCCTTGAGGAGCAGGCAGCACCTGTGGCTTAAATGATACGTGGATCTGTTATCCAATAGTTGCAGGCCCGCTGAACTTCAGGCATTGTGCTCAGCCTTCACGCTTCAAGAGCATTAAGATATAAACTCTGGGCACATTCCAGAAGTGAAAAGTGATCGGTATGGTAAGAGGAAGTTTGATAGCGATAGAGTTGTCCTGGAAACGGGGAAGGAGGAAAAGTAGAACATTAATGTTCATGGAGGAAGCTTTAAATACCGAGCCTTATGCTGGTATACCTTATGCTGGTATGCTCGGCTTAAATACCAAGCTCTTATCCAAGAGCATACATGTAATACATGTAATAAGTGGTTACATGGAAATTTAAACTTAGACCCATCCAGCTCCAAAACTTACACACTTCTTGTACCATGCTTTTCCAGAGATGTTGACACTGGGTCAGAAATGTGAAGGACCAGTGGTAGATTACTCCATAGAGAGGGAGGCAACAACCTGTGTTTTAAGTGTGGCTTCAGAAAAGAATAGAATATCATGAGGTGGAGCTGAAGGCATGGGTGGAATAGAGTTCTGCCAGAACTAGGCTTTCTGCTGTAAAATAAATAGTAACAAAAATCCGTAACTACTGTATTTGGGTTATGTGACTTACCGATTCTTGAGTAATAAATACTCTATCCTGAGAAAAGAACAACCAAGAGTAGGTTGTTTCTGCAGTATGAAAAGGCCATTTTGCACGACTTGCATTATTGTCTCTGAATGTGGCATTCACCAGCGAGTTCCTCTAACCAATGGTGTTTTCAAGATGGAGGCTAGAATCAACTCTGTAGTGGTGCTTCTTCCTGAAGACAGCATCTCTGTCTTCTGAATACATGTAACAGCCAAGGTGAAACTTGATTCCTCCAAGTATCTGAAGTTCATTCCCTTGCCTTGATCACCTCCCTCTTGTGGTCTCCCCTCTCCCAGGTGCTCGTGATTGGGTGCGGTAACTCAGAGCTCAGCGAGCAGCTGTATGATGTGGGCTATCAGGATATAGTGAACATTGACATTAGTGAGGTCGTCATAAAGCAGATGAGGGAACGCAATGCCAGCCGGCGGCCCCACATGAGCTTCTTGAAGATGGACATGACACAGATGGACTTTCCCGATGCCTCATTCCAGGTCGTGTTGGACAAGGGTACCCTGGATGCTGTCTTGACGGATGAGGAGGAGAAGACCCTGCAACAGGTGGACAGGATGCTGGCTGAGGTTGGCCGTGTCCTGCAGGTGGGCGGTCGCTACCTCTGCGTCTCCCTGGCTCAGGCTCACGTTCTGAAGAAAGCAGTGGGTCACTTCTCTCGGGAGGGGTGGATGGTGAGGGTTCACCAGGTGACGAACAGCCAGGACCAGGTGTTGGAAGCAGAGCCTCGGTTCTCCCTGCCTGTCTTTACCTTCATCATGACCAAGTTCAGGCCAGTCCCTGGCTCTGCCCTTCAGATCTTTGAGCTGTGTGCTCAGGAGCAGGGCAGGCCCGTGCGGCTGGAGAGTGCCGAGCGGCTGGCCGAGGCAGTGTGGGAGCGGCAGCAGTATGCCTGGCTGTGCGGCCAGTTGTACCGCAAGGCTGGGCTGGGGAGTGTGTCTCTGGACTTGTGCAATGGGGACACGGGGGAGCCACGCTACACCCTCCACGTGGTGGACAGCCCCACTGTGAAACCATCGCGGGACAATCATTTTGCCATTTTCATCAGTGAGTTGGGATTGCTCCCTCTCTTCCCTGGAGGGGCTGGGGCTGGGCTTTGGTGGATGGTTGTACCTTGGCTGGGGGCGGTGCCGCAAGAGGTTAGACTAGGCAAGGCATGAGGAGGGGGACTAGTGGCTCTCCAGCTGCCTACTTTGGTTCTTCTCATCTTCCATTGCAAAGGATTGATGAAGTGTTAGAATGTGGTATGTAGGGGAGAGAGGTGATACAGATATATTCAGGTACTCACACATTGTAGCAATGTCAGTTACTTTGTAATATTGAGTAAGGGGAGCAATAGTCCCAGCTCTGTAGCCTGTGAGAAGTTGCTGCCTCTCTGCTAAATTCAGAGACAGGACAGAATATGCCTAAAAAAGTAGCTCTGGAACCTGACTGTTTGGGATCCAGTCCTCAGACGCTTCTTCGTGGTGTAACTTCAGACAGGTTACTTTTCTTTCTGTGTCTGTAGCTGAGTCTCCTCATCTGTAAAGTGAGATTATAACCATTTTGTGTAGTTGTGAGCAGTGTAAAAGCTCTTAGAATGATACCTGGCACATGATAAGTGCTTTACAAATGTTACTGTTACTATTGAAAGGGGTAAATGATCCCAAATTTACCTTAGTAACAATCAGTAGAGATAAAATGGGGAAATACTTTCAAAAGTAGAGAATTCTAGACAAATTAAAGCTGTTAATATCATCATGATGGTAATTTGTTTCCTGACAATTGAGCCGTTTTTTCTAATACCATAATCTTAACTGCCCACCTATGGGAATAAGTAGTGCTGTGGATGCAAGCATGGAATCTGGGGCTGGGACCTGGCCTTGAGTCCTGGCTTTGCCATTTACCATCTGTGTGAACTTGGGCAAATAATGTAACTTTTGTGTCTCCATTTCCTCATTTATAAAATGGGATAATAATACTACCTGCATCTTGAACTGTTGTGAGGATTCAATTAGTTTCTGTATGTATACTGTTTAGAATAAAGCCTGGCATGTGATAAGTGTTAGAATTACTGCTATTTTTCTTGCACTAAGTACTGGCCTCCCTCTGCTTATGTACAAGCTCGCACTCCTTATCCACCCTGGGCCCTGCCCTATGTGCAATGGCTGCTCTGCCCTGGAGATTGTGCACTAGGGAGGTGACAGCCCCTCAGTGGTGGCAGTTGGAAGGGGCCGCTGGGCCGGAACAGGGGCTGGCTCTCTGCCATGTGGGACACTTTGGTTGTGGACTTGAACGCTCTTCCTCAGACTCCCTGTTACCAAGTGCGTCTTTGCAGTCCCCCAGGGTCGAGAGACTGAGTGGCTCTTTGGCATGGAGGATGGTCGGAAGCAACTGGCTGCCAGCGCAGGCTTCAGGAGGCTGATCACAGTGGCCCTTCACCGAGGTCAGCAGTACGAAGGCATGGACAGCATCCAGGCCGAGCTGTCAGCCAGAGTCATGGAACTGGCCCCGGCTGAGATGCCCACCCAGCAGCAGGTACCAAGCTTTGGCAGCAGTTTGTACGGGTCTCTGGACAAACCTTAGCAGCAGCTAGGAAGACAGAGGGTGTCTGAGAAGTAGCCAGGGCTAGGGTCTATGACTCAGCCTGTTCCTGGACAGCATGTCAGCAGCTGAAGCTGAGTGGGCAGAGATTGTGTCTCCTTGCCTCAGGCACCGAGAGGAAGGTGAGCCGTAACTTGTGGAGACCCACAGGAGCATCTGCGTCTGTGAGGCCTCTCAGCCTCTGCAGAGGCGCTGTGAACAACATGCTCCCCGCCTTGCAGGCTCCAGGTCTTTGTTCTATGGATTACTCAGGCCATGTTTCTCTGGCTTCTCTGTGGCACAGGACATCCTTGGCCATTTTGCTTCTTGGAGCCATCATTAGCTGAGGGTAAAAGGGGAAGGGCCAGAACAGCTCAGCATAATACTCAGATTATTAGCATTGCTCGTCTGGTGTTTTACTGTGAAGGAAACTGAAAATTCTTGCCAAAATGTTGTTAATGTTATTAACATTTGACACCATCTGTCTTGAGCCATCCTGGTAACAGATAGGGTAACTGACAGGTGACGTTATTGCAAGGAGTTTATCTTTCTTGGTAGATGGGAACATCAGGGTACTGGGAGCTTTGATGCTGTAGTAACAGAGCTGAAAAGAACCCAGGCTCTGGGGTCCCCAGCCTGTGGTTTTGCCTGCTAGGATGACGTGTGTTCAGAGCTGAATGTGTTTGATTCTTCCTGCAGGCTTTGGGGTTGCTGTCCATCAGCGAGATCCAGATCCTGTGGGCAGGTTCATTTGTGACCATCTCACCCTCGTCTACATCTCTGCACAGTCAGGAGTCCCTAGTGGTTATTGAATACTCTTGTGGGTCTTTAAAAAGAGATAGATATAAAGATCGGGAAAGGAAATGGAAAAGTTTAGGGCGAAATGTATCTTTCTGGTAGTTTTTCCTCCTATTTAGAAAACTCAGGGAAAAAACAGTAAGAAACACTGAGGGAAAGTAGAAATTTTTCCTGATTTGGAGTGGTTGCTTTTTCCCTGGTTTTGTTTTCAGATTCCCTGAGGGTTCCCTCTGGTTTTCATTGTCCTGGATATTGAAGTCCTTTTAAGGACTACTGTAGAGAAACAGTATTTTTCTTGGGGAGAACCAACTACATTTCACTGATGTTTTGGGGAGTACTTTATGAGCTCAGTTGGTTTTTCAAGGAGGTAAATTAAGCCTTTTGGGATATCTTCAAAGGCCCAAAGAAAGTACTTTAATAAGAACGGCAGATCTTTTGGGGTTGTCACTGCCCGAAACCTTGGTGCGGGGAACCTGTGTGCATGCCCAAAGGGAAGGGGCTGGAAGTTCTTGTATTTCTTCACTGAGCTGGTGTTTTGACCACATCTCTGCTGTACATTCAGGTGCCCTTTCTGTCCGTGGGTGGGGACATTGGGGTCCGGACTGTTCAGCACCAAGACTGCAGCCCTTTGAGTGGTGACTACGTCATTGAGGACGTGCAGGGGGACGACAAGCGCTACTTTCGGCGGCTGATCTTCCTCAGCAACAGGAACGTGGTGCAGTCAGAAGCCAGGCTGCTGAAGGATGTGTCTCACAGAGGTGAGGCATCATAGGCGGTGGGACCCAGGTGGTCAGGGCATAGACTCTCAATCTGGGGTGATTGGAAAGATCTGGGAGCTTGGCTGAGATCTAGGACAGACCTGGGGACCTGTGACCAGAGGTACATGACTGAATTGTCCTTTTACCATCCTGGTTCTTAGGACCTGACTCTGAAATAAGGAGCAGGGGCAGTGGTTTACCAGGTTAATGTGATAGTCACTGTAATGCCTTTAAAGGTTGTCTGTTCTGCAGGTTTCTCCACATACATCTGTGTGTGAATGCAGTAGGCCTCCATGAGGGGTGGCAGGTGGGCCCTGTTTTCCTCCCTAGTGGCACCCCAGCACCTGCTCCACAGGGCTTTAGAGTTGGTGGGTGTCTTAGTGTCCATCTAGTCCAGTGCTATTCAATACAACTTCCTGCAATGAAGGAAATATTTAAATACCCAATTAACTGTTCAGTGTAGGCCACTAGCCGTATGTAGCTACTGAGCACTTGGAATGTGGCATGTATTACTGAGGTACCAAATGTTTAATTTTATTTAATTCTAATTAATTTACATTTAAATGGCTACAGGTGGCTAATGGCTACACAGTCCTGGATAGTGTAGACCATGTCCCCTAGGATCCCTTCGAAGTGGTTTCCCAGATGCTGCTCCAAAACTCCCACTAATGGAGTGAGCAACAGTTTGTTTCACCTGTATTTTCACTGTGTGTGTTTGTATTATAAAAGCCATACTTGCCCGTTGTAACCAATACAAAAACCAAATGCATAGAGTAAAAAGTGAATGCCCCTCCCCTTGCCTTCTCCAGTGTACCTTCCCTTTTGAGACATGGAGATTCAGGCATGGAATCTGAAATTGGGTCTCCTGATTCCCAGCTGTTCTCTATGCCTAACTGTGCTCTCCTGTTAGCAAAGCCAGCTGGGTGGAGGGAGATAAGAGAATTCAGAGACTCAGAAGGTCATAGCTTTGCCCAAAGCTCACTATCAGGTAACTCTCTGCAGGATGGTTTTTCTTGGGGGGTTTCCCCTGGTCAAGTGCAGCTGTGTTTGTTGGGCTTCTGTCCCATCATTGGTCACTCCAGTTACGGGTTGCTTCAGTTTCATCTCTCTGAAAGCTCAATAATGTTGCTTAAAACAACATTTTGCCCTCTAATTTGGGGTTTAGGTTTTTTCCCACTGTTGTCAAGTTTGTAGCCTTCCTAGTATTTATTCTCATGAGAATGGTTTCCCTCATGGAAGTGTTGCAGCAAGATGGAAAATGTATTAAAAATTACTCAGCATCTCCGAGAAGCATCCAGTCGTTACACCTCAGTGCCTGATGCTCCTCTGGAATGCAGCTGGTCCCTATTGAAAACCCAGGACCATTGGTTAGTATGTCTTGGAGCAATTGAGGGAGTAGGTAGAGGGAAGGTAGAAGGGCCTCTTGTAGGATTTCTCCCTCCCGAGAACACTTGTGACTTCCTTGTCCAACAGGATGGCATGTGTTACTGTCTGTATGGTACAATTGAAAGATGATAGGCATTTAGAGACAGGCTGTCCAAGGTTCAAATACTGGCTGCGCCACCTACTGATTCTGGGCCTAACTATCAACTCTTCAGCTTCTCAGTTTTTCCATCTGCCAAGCATTGGAATAACAGGATTGTTATAAGAGCTAGAAGAGTAGATGTCCCAGTACAGTGACTGGTATAGGGAGGTAATTAGTAACATCAGGTTCTTGTTTCCTAAATAATTTATGAATAAACTCTTCTCCTGTCAGTGGCCTTATATTTCTCAGAGGAGAGGTTCTAGGACTCCTTGGCTGAGTTTTCCCAGGTTTTTGGGTGTGTTTTAGCCACTTCCCTTTTTTGACTCCCCGATATCCAGTGATGTGTGTTAAATGTTTAACAACCGTTTCTTTGGGGAAAAAAGCCTTGATACGTACTGTTTGCCAATTTCTGTGTCATAAAAATGGCTACCATGGGTAGACTTCAAACTATCAACATGTCAACCAGTTCACAAAATTCCTGCATATTTAACAATTGGGTTCTTGACTCAGATTATGCCAGCTCCTGGCATGACTTGCTTTCCAAGGAGTAGTGTACTAAGCATAGGACTTCATTTCTATCTCCGATTTAGCCCAGAAGAAACGAAAAAAGGACAGAAAGAAGCAGCGGCCTGCTACTCCTCCAGAGGACCTCCCTGCAGCGCCAGGGCAGTCCATTGATAAGAGTTACCTGTGCTGTGAACACCACAAAGCCATGATTGCCGGCCTCGCCCTGCTGAGAAACCCGGAGCTGCTCCTTGGTGAGGGAGATGCCAGTGCCTTCCGCAGTAGGGAGCATGTAAGGTGACAGATGTAAAGAGTGTCAGCTGCCTCATAGCTTAAAACCGGTGATTATGGACCAACACATACCATGTATTCACAGCTTTCTAATTCCTCACCATCTCATAAGTTAATGAACATCCAAATAACTTTTCCTGCAAACTCAAATTGTCAACTTGAAATGGCTGCATGTGTTGATTTCTAAATTTTTTTCTTCTATTTGTTTGTTTGAAAAACTAAGGTATAAAATGCATTCAATGAGACATGTAAAGTGCACAGATCTTAAGTTACTCAGCTTGATGAATTTTTGCTTATGTACCCAGATGGAACATCTAAAAATCACGTTTCTAGAGAAATGCCTTTTCATTTGAGGAGAATTTCTTGCTTTTCAGTGATGTATTATTTGAGCACCAGGAGCAATTCTATCTTGAATTTCTACTTTATAAAAAAGCCCATATTGCAGGTAGTACAATCATCACCTTATCTCTAATAACAGGCTTGAATCTGACCACAGTAGCAAAAATATTCATGTTGCTGTCTGTGCTTGTAACTGTCTTCACCCAAAGTCCCTGAGTATGTCTTCCTGAAGCTCACTGTACTTTTGGCCCATCATGGTGTTGATGTAGGTCTCTAGAGTCTCGGTTCGTATATTTAATCCCATGGCTGTCTCTCACTTCGGTGATTGTTTCTTGTTTCTTATCTTTCTTCCATTCCCCTGGGGTTGCTATGGTTTCTCTTGTGCTGAGGTCTAGGATTTGCACCTTTGTTTTACTGTGATTTCTGGAACTCGGATGGATTGCCCTTGCTTGGTTGATGTGTGTCAGAGAGCATTTGTGGTCTTTGAGTCCATGCTTGGAATCTTTTAAGGGACCATAATACCCTTGGTTCATCTTCTGGATCTGTAAAAGTAAGGACTGTGAGGCCAGGGTTGAGTTTTCAGACGTTAAATTGACTCCTACTAAGTTCCTGGCACGAGATGAGTGGCCAGGTCTCTAAATCTTGTGTCCCCCCTGGGCAAAGCCAACAATCCAACTCCCTCTTGTGTGCTCCCCAAGGCTGGTACAAAGCTTCCCAGTGAGCAGATAGTAACATAATACTCTATTCCTTTGTTTCAGAGACACCACTGGCATTGTTGGTGGTAGGCCTGGGTGGGGGCAGCCTCCCCCTCTTTGTCCATGATCATTTCCCAAAGTCCTGCATTGATGCTGTGGAGATCGACCCCTCTATGTTGGAAGTGGCCACTCAGTGGTTTGGCTTCTCCCAAAGCAACCGGATGAAGGTCCACATTGCAGATGGCTTGGACTATATTACCAGCCTGGCAGGAAGAGAAGGTAATGTTTTGGTGAATTTGAAGGGGTGTTGAGGGAAGATTAATCCAAGATTGTCAGGCCTGCAAGAGCCCTTAGAATTCATCTCTAAGAAGGTGGCATCGAAATCATGCCAGTCTTTCACCTGTTCATCTGTTCATTCATTTGTTGACTTATTTATTTAATAAGTATGTAAGTCAGTCATATGTTCAGCTGTGCCAGGGGCTGGGGTATGCCAACAGGTAATCTTGTCTGCCCTTGTGGTACAAACAGACCAGTGGGCTTCTCTTCTTATTCTCTTCTGACCCTGTGACCTTGTTACTTCTCCACCATCCCAAGAGACCTGAAGTCTGTAGCTGGGTAGGGAAAAAGGAAAGACTAGCTGGGGTGCATGTTGGAAGATGTGTTTTGTACATATTTAAGCTGGAGGTAAAGCCAGAAATAGAGCAAAACAGAATTCCTGTAGCTCATTGGTTCTAAACCTCTGAGATGTTCGGCAAGGTCTGTAGCCTTTTATTTTGCTTGTCATAATGATTGGGTAGGGATGCTTCTGGCCCTCAGCAGGAGAGACCGAGGATGCTGCTAAACACCCTAAAGTTTACAGGATGGCACCCGGGGACAAAGATTACCTGGACAAAATGTTGGCAGTGCTAGGGTCGAGAAACATTGGTGCACATGCTATTGATAGCCCTGCTGCTCCTGGAATTCAGCTCCACTTACAATCATTTGTATCCCAGACTTAGGACAGAAGGCATATTAATGTTCTGCAGTAGTCCCCTGACACTTTTGCAACTTAATTATAGGCTGCTGGTGACTGGAACTTTCTAGAGCATGAGTTCTTCAGGGGGAAATCATTTAAGTTGGTTTACTCCTAAGTGAAGCTGGGGAGCTTAGGTTCCCCCCACCATCCTTTTTGGTCTGAGTTTCACTTGATTAGATGCTCGAGTGTCACTTGATTAGAATAACTTCCAGTCAGGGCATGGCAAGCTAGAATGCCTTGGGTGAGTGGGGCTGGGATAGACAGATGCTGCCTTAATTTTAATTGCAAACTACACTCAACTATGTCAGTTTCACAGGTTCCCTTTCTGAGGCTGGGACCAGTTGGGGGCCCAGGCCCAAGGTAACTAATACATGTGAAGCTTTTAAAACAGTGCCAGGCACATGGTAGGTACTCATAATGATGCTGTTGCTGTTACCACCTGTAGGGCACTTTTTGAACAGCCCTGGCCATCGTCTCTAACGACAACCCTTCAGAGTGTTGGAGGGCTCAGGGCGGCTAATGCGGGCTGTGGTTGTTTTGGACTCCAATGAGCCTACATGTTCTGCTCTCTGAGAAACCAAAGGCAGGTCTGTGCTGTGAACATGATGGCGTGTGGCAGTCCTAAGCAAGTATTTATTAATTACTGAATAGTCATTGCCATAGCCTCAAAGTGTGCTAAAAATAAGTCAGTGGCATTGCAGGTCTGCCTTGCCTAAAAACTTACTTAATAGTAAGGAGATCTGATTCATTATTAGTTCTTTCTCACCTATTTAGAAAAATCCTTTCTTTCTTGAGCCACTTACTGTTCAAGTAACTAGAAAAGATACACTAACTTTAATTTGAGAGCATTTTCTCCTAGGAGGCAACATATGCTATTTTCAGACTTAATTTAAAAGTACTATTTGCTGGATCAACCAACCCCTAAAGGCTGAGGTGGCTGCTCTGTTTAGATCAGTGGTTGTCAACTTAGACTGTACTTGGAATTACCCGGGTTGCTTAAGAAAGATAGCAGTGGCTTTCTGTCTCCCTCGCATCTATTCCTTGCCACCCCAGGATTTTTGACTCAGTTGGTCAGGAGTGAAGCCAGGTTCTGTCATATTTAGAACTCTCTCAAGATGACTGTATTCTGCCAGGATTGGAAATCACCAGTATAGGTGGACTCTTAATCACATAATAATCACACAGAAGTGGGCAGATAGGGCAATGTGTGTGCCTTTAGGAGGTGCTTGTAAGTCTGGAGGAAGAAGGTGAGATGAGAGCTCTGTCTGTAATGAGGGAGCACTCACAGCAGAATGCTGATGACGGTGGCTTCTGTGCCCTTACAGGTGAGCCATGTCATCCTCTGACATAGCCACCTGTGCCCACTACAGATCCCAGAGGAGATGTAGTATAGGAATGTAAATGGCCTTATTTATCTGGCAAAGACAAAGCCTTGTTTGCTTCTCTTTTCCCAGTGCGGCCTCACTACGATGTCATAATGTTTGATGTGGACAGTAAGGACCCAGGGCTGGGCATGAGTTGTCCACCCCCAGCGTTTGTGGACCAGATTTTCCTGCAGAAGGTCAAAAGCATCTTGGCTTCTGAAGGTATGAAGAACAAAAGTCTGTGAAGGGAGAAAGGATGCATCCTTAAAAAAAATATTTTTAATGAAAAATGCAAATTTCATAAGCATGTAGCTCGATCATTTTCCCCAAATGAAAAACACCCATTTAGCACCACCAAACAGAACATTTTCAGCCCCTAAGAGGTCACCCCCTTTGAGTAACTTACCTTCCTTTCAAGGGGAACCACTATCATCACTTCTATCAGCACAGCTTAGTTTTGCCCTCTTTTGTTCTTTATGTAAGTGGAACAATACAGAATGTACCCTTGAAGTGTTTGTTTTCTTTCACTTAACATGATGTTTGTGAGAATCATCCATAGTGTTGTGGTGACATTGTTCCTTTTTATTGCTATGTAGTATTATTGTATGACTCTCCCACAATCCATTTCTTTATTCTGCTGGTGGCATTTGGGTGGCTTCCTGTTTGGGGCCTTTCTAAGTAGTACTGCCATTAACTTCCCAGTAGATGCCTCTGGGGGAATCATTTTGCAGTCTCTTGGGCATGTATGTGAGGTGGTAGGTGCTAGACTGTAGGTTATGCATATGTTGAGTTTTTGTAGATGCTGCTCACAGTTTTACAAAATGGTTGAAGCAGATTCACACCAGCATGACAATGCTGGCTACCATTTGAATTCTTCCCACATATTCCAGACTAGGCATATGTTGTTTCATCTTCATAGCACCCATTTTCAGAGGTGAATAGATTTGCTGAGGGCTCTAAGCCAGTTTTTGTGACTTGAAAGCTGGGGCTCTTAATCCATATGCTCATGGCCTGCTGGGTGCTCTGATTTGGTTTAAGTAGTGTACTGAACAGAGTTGATTTAGAACCTTAATTGTTACAAGTCAGGATGATGTTGGCCCTCTCATTGGCCAATAAATACTCCATAATGTATGTGTCAAAAGCATAAAATCCCTGTGGAGTTGGTACTTCTTTCCTGGGGTATTCCTTCTCAGAGCAATTCTTTGAGAAACAGGCATGGAGAATGGCAAAATAACATGTTAGCTGCAGATCAAGAAATTGGCTTGATGTTTTCTCATGGTTCACATACTGCCTATGCTTTTCTCTCTCTGCCTTTGTGTGCTGAGTGTTCTCTGCAAACTCCTTGCCACCGTAGGTGTGTTTCTTAGTCCACCAGCCTACCTGGGGCTGGATCGGTATATTCCTCAGAGCTGAACCTGGGTTCCCGCAGTTCCCTGATACGCAGTCATTCTGACTCTTTCCCTCCCATGCTGCAGGTGTTTTTATCCTCAACCTCGTATGCCGAGACATGGGGCTGAAGGACTTGGTGCTGGCGGGGCTCAAGGCAGTGTTCCCCCTCCTCTATGTCCGCCAAATAGAAGGTGAAGTAAACGAGATCCTGTTCTGTCAGCTGCATCCTGAGCAGCAGCTTGGCACACCAGAGCTTGTGGAAGTAGCCCAGGCCTTGGAGCAGACCCTGAGGAAGCCAGGGAGGGGTTGGGATGACACGTACGTCCTGTCAGATATGCTCAAGACTGTGAAGATTGTGTGATCGCTGAGGCCAGGCAGCCCTCTTGGCTTTCGACGAGACTGGCCTTGGGCTCCTTCCTGGTCTGCTAGAGATCATAGAACTATAATGCACAGTACTTCTTAAACTTCCTGTTTTTCTTGGTTTCATACTCAGCTCCCTGCGACCTCAAGCTTGGGTTGAGTCCCCTTTGCTCCCTGCCCTGGATTGTGGCGTTGAGTAGACCTGATGCCTTCACGAGCACACGCTGAGCTCCTAAGGACTGAAGACAATCAAATGTGGTGCTGGTTTGCTTTTGCTTTATCTTGTTGGCTCTTTAGGAATGATCTCAGGTGAGGGAGCAGAGCATTCTGTGCCAGCACACCAAACAGAGTAGGCTCTCCATAGGCGCGAGGTGATTTGAAAGAACACCTGCCATCTTCCACCAAATGGAACTGCCGAGGACCTGGTCCCCTGTTTTCAGGATCTGCGAACCCACTCCAGCGTTTAACAGCTCTCCTCACTTTCCCGAACCTCGCCGAAACCATGTGTTTTGTTCTCGCTGGAGGGAGTGGATATAATTGGCCCATGTATGCCAGCCTAGCAGACTGAAGTCTCTGGTATTGGTTTACTCATACTTACTGAGTGCCAGCTACATGCAGATCTGGTGTAAAGAGCTGTGGTCTAAGAACAGTTGCCTGAGAATGGCCAGAAGCATGGACTGGCAATAAAAATGCATACTTTCCAGGAGCTTTCCTAAGTGATTTACCTACACTGTCTCATTTAATCTGACTGAAGAACAGTTAAACCAAACCTACATCTAACCCAAATCTCACTTGAGTTGGAAGCATCAATCTTACCTGTTATTGAAACTGTTAAACCAGCAGTTCTGAGACTGACTTGAGTTTCATCTCTCCTAATCACACCAAGGCTGACTTAATGAGCGGTGCTGTGGAAAATAGGCATTGTTCCCAGTCACCACCTTGGCTTCTCTTCCCACAGTCCCTTCACAATGGACTGGAACCTCTGGTGGTGAAACATATTTTAGGTTGTCATCCTTAACAGAATTGCATCAGCCCATTGAGAAGGGCTTGAGTACAGTGTTGGTTTTGGATCTTTTCCACTAGAAATGCATGGTGTTCTTTAGGGGAGGGTCTTCCCCTCGAGTCACATGAAGAGGCTATGTCCCTCCAAGGCCCTGCACCCCAAGGGGCCTCAGCTTGGGAATCCCCACTGTTTTCCAATCTGTGAACTCATGCAGTGTCAGGATAGGTTATGGAGGCAGAGGGGTAAGTCAGACAATCTAGTCTGACTGCCCTTTGCTCAGATCACCATCTCGTGCTGTGCACAGTTCAGAGCAGAACACTTGAGTGGCACAGCCACACTAGGGAATTACTAGAATGATGACAAGATCTCAGCTGTATCTTAGGAAGAGTTGTCCAAGGAATTAGGGAGGTTCACCAGCGAGAAGCCTTTGGAAGTGGGAAGAGCACTCGGGTGGTGATAATTATCTTAAAAATTTTGAGAAACTGGGTGTGAAAGCACAGATATGTGTGCCTCTAGTGGCCGCAGAAATTCCATTGGCAGCTTTCAGCTTAATTTCCTACAAAGAGATTTGTACTAACAGAGACCTTTATGTTCACGAGAACATGTGGTGACTCAGGCTGTTGACTCAGACGCTAGTCTGACTCCCCTCAGTGTGCTCACTGAGCTGTGAGGAAATGCTTTTGGGTGCACAGCAAGCCATTGGCCTGTATCCCATCTTTCCCACTTGAGCTTTTTTGGGGTTAAGGGGCATTTCTATTTTATTTTTTTATTGAGGTATAATTGACATACAACATACTAGTTTCAGGTGTACAATGAAATGATATTTTTATATATTGCAAAACAGCCACTACAGTAAGTCTAGTTAACATCCAAAAGCTATTCACTTTTGCACTGATGACAGGCAAATAGGTCTTCATGAGAATTTTGCCTAACTTTTTAGGCATGTGATTTCTGGAAGAGGGGAAGCTTGTAAACTCCAATTCTTTCCTGACTAGACAAGTAACTTAACTGTGTGCAGTGGGCCAGGTGTGAAATAGGCTAGGCTGACATGCGACTACTCAGAGAACAGATGCCCTCTGGAAAGGCAGCAGCTGAGAGTCATCATGCAGGACGGCTGTCCCAGGAGAGCTAGATCTTTCCAGAGAAGCCAGAAATCCGGAATGTATGTGTATGTGTGTGAATATTAAAGTGTAGGCTAATCAGAACACATCTTCAAGCCATATTCAACCTGTGGGCCAGTAATTTGCTCTTCCACTACAGGGGACAGCCTGCAGAGCATTTGAGAGTCAGGCATACTCTGAGTGAGCAGCCTGGTGACTACCGGTCATAGAAGTCTATTCAGGTGTCATCTTGTGTCATGCCCTACTGTCCTTGGGATAGTGTACAGTCTAACTTCAAGGGCTAACAAAGAACTGAATGAGAATAAACCGCATGACAGATCTCCCCTGTAACCACCTTCTGCAGCAAGGAAAACGCAGTGAGGCTGGCTATTGCCCCTTCTCCCCGTTCCTCCCCCTACACACCATTTTTTCAGTGTGTGTCTCTAGTCTTGCATCTTGACTCAGCTTGCTAACTGGGCCACTTCTTGAGTCCACGTTCTCATGGATAAACCAGTAGTTCTCAGCTGCACATTGGAGTTATCTAATGTGGTAAGCAGAATAATGGTCCCCAAAGATGTCCATGTCCCAATCCCAGCAACCTGTGAATAGGTTACATTACGTGGCAAAGGGAAATTAATGTAGCAGATGGATTTGATGTTGCACATAGGCTAACTTTAGGGAGATCATCCTAAATTATTCAGGTGGGCCCCGCATAACCTTTAAATGTGGGAAAGGTAGGCAGAAAAGTCCATCAGTAATATCCGAGAAAGACTCATCATTTCCGGTCTTGAAGATGAACTCAGCCTCTAGAAGCTGGAGAAGGTAAGAAAGTCAACTCTCCCCTAGAGCCTCCAGTAAGGAGTGTAAATCTGCCAACACCTTAATTTTAGCCCAGTGAGACCCATTTTGGATGTCTGCACTATAGACCTATAAGACAATAAATTTGTGTTATTTTAAGCCACTAAGTTTATAGTAAGCTGTTACAGCAGCAATAGGAAACTAATACACCTGGACATTTTTTTTTTCTTTCTGTGATGAGAACTTTTTAAGATCTACTCTTTTAGTAACTTTCAAATACCCAATACAGTATTGTTAACTATAGTCATGTTATTACACATTACAGCCCCATGACTTTATTTTATAACTGGAAATTTGTACCTTTTGACCTTCACCCATTGCACCCACTTCCCCACCCCCTGCCTCTGGTAACCACTAGTCTGTCCTCTGTGAGCTTGGCTTTTTAAAATAAATTCACATATAAATGAAATCATACAATATTTGTCTTTCTCTGCCTGACTTACTTAGCATAATACCTTCATGTTCCATCTCTGTTGTTGCAAATGGCAAGATTTCGTTCTTTTTTGTGGCTAAATTGTATATATATCCACATTTTCTTCACCCATTATGGACTTAGTTGTTTCCATACCTTGGCTATTGTAAATAAATGCTTCAGTGAACATGGGGGTCCAGATATCTCTTTGAGTAAATGTTTTCTTTGTCTTCGGATAAAAACCCAGAAGTAGAATCATTGGATCACATAGTATTTCTGTTTTTAATCAAGGAACCTCCATAGTGTTTTCCATTGTAGTTGCACCAATTTACATTCCCACCAAGAATGCATTACCTGGGAAACTTAAAAGTATTTAGGCCCGAGTTCTACCTTCCTCAGATATTCTTATTAAATTGATATGGGGTGTGGCCTATGCATCAGAATTTTAAAAAGCTTTCTGGGTAATAATGTGCAGTCCAGTTTGAGGACCACTGAGGTAGAAGTTCTGTGAGTGGCTATGTTACTGGGTAGGGAGGTAGTTGCTCTTATCAGTGAATATCAGCTTGGCCCAGATGCAAGCAGCAACAGTCACTTGTTAAGCGGAATGTGTTCTCCCACCTTGTCTAGGAAAAACACGGTGTGTGCCTTTACTCAGTCTCACAGCACTCAGATGCCAGATTTCCCCCACACCAAGTAATTCTCCAATTCTCCAACCAACTTGGTGTCATACAATTCAATTCAGATATGACACTCTTCCTGGGGTTAGTGCAGACCCCCTGCGAATGTCCCCCCATCTCACTTCAGATGCCAATCTCAAAATCGCAAGTCCAGGTTGTTACCTGTGCTTCTGACGTACTGGTATATAAATCAGTGGTTTCTATGACCCACTCCTCAGGTTTGATAGTTTGCTAAAGCAGCTCAAAGAAACCAGGAAAATAGTTTACTTAGATTAGCAGTTTATTATAAAAGAATGCAACTTAGGAACATCCAAATAGAAGAGATACACAGGGCAAGATGCAAGGTATGTAGGAAGGGACATGGTTCTTCACTACCCTCGGCATGGTTGCCCTCCTTGCATCTCCATGAGCTCACCCACCCGGAGGCTCTCAGAACACCGTACTCGGGATTTTTATGGAGGTTTCACTGTGGCATGATCAATTATTAACTCAATTTCCAGCCCCTCTCCCCCAGAGGATGGGGTTGGGGTGGGGCTGAAAGTTCAAGCTTGTCATCATGGCTTGGTCTTCCTGGTGACCAGCTCCTATCCAGGAGCCCACCTGGAGTCACCTCAGAACAAGAGATGCTCGTATCACCCAGGAAGTAGCAGGAGTTTTAGGAGCTCTATATCAAGAACTGAGGTTAGAGACCAATAGGTACTTCTTTATTATTTTACAGTCCGCTACTCTCAAGCACACCTGCACTCTTTGCCCTTTGAGTGGATGACAGCAGGATGAAGCAGTCAGCTAGCTGTGCAGGGTCATTTCCTCCGCAGAGCACAGCGGCCCTGTTCCCCACTATAACTGGGCCCCTGAGTGTACACCCTGAGGACTGCTTCATAAAGCTGAAAGATTTTAGTTGAGTAAACCATAGGAAATCCAGTTTCCCTCTTGTGGCTAGACTTGCCATTTGGTCTCTACCAATTTGTCTACAGGTAGTAGTCAATAAGAATTAGAACTCTTAAGCTGGATTTTTCTTTTTTATTTTCAATAGACATTTTTTTTTTTTTTTT